AATCCACAAAGCATTGGTGGAGGTTGGGCTTGATAATACATATGAGCCTCAAGATTATCTAACTTTCTTCTGTCTTGGCAATCGGGAGGAATTAGACAAAAGAGACAGTTTAGATGCCAAAAGTTCAACCGCAGCAAAGACTCCTCAGGTACCTAATTTCCTATCCTAATATAATTCTGCCTTCTTTTCTGAATTTCTTCTAGGAAGTTGTAGCATTTCATTTTCACCTAGCTCATCTGCAATTTAATAATGTTTCATAGGAACTTGCTAAGAAGAACAGGCGCTTTATGATTTATATCCATTCAAAAGGTATGATAGTGGATGATGAGTACATCATAGTGGGATCTGCAAATATCAACCAACGCTCAATGGAAGGCACCAGAGATACTGAAATAGCAATGGGTGCCTATCAGCCTCACCATACTGGATCAAGGAAACACACCAGTCCACTTGGGCAAGTAAGTGTTACGTTTTCTGCCTTAAGTTTTCTTCTTACAATCTTCAAAGCTACACTAACATTTTTGTATATGTGACACACACAAAACACACACAGTTGTGGTCAAAACTGTCTTATTAAAAACTGGTTTTTCCCTGCTAACCTTTTTCTCTTTTTGTACTGGAGCATAATTAACCGCTTATGATTATGGTGTTAATACTGGCTTAAATGCATTCTTGTTCTAGTTACCATATTCATGGTTACAAAAAGCTAAAAACACTACACTCATCTAAGTACAGGTCTATGGGTATCGGATGTCACTATGGGCAGAACACATTGGCCATCTGGAGGAATGTTTTAAAAGACCAGAGAGTCTGGAATGTGTGAGACGTGTTAGGTCCTTAGGCGAGCTCAACTGGAAGCAATATGTAGCTGATGAGGTGACAGAAATGAAGGGTCACCTCCTGAAGTACCCTGTCCAAGTTGATCGGATGGGCAAGGTGAAGGCGCTTCCCGACTGTGAAACATTCCCGGATGTGGGTGGGAAAATCTTGGGGTCTTTTGTAGCCATTCAAGAAAATCTCACTATCTGATTCTGAGCCAAGGATCCTTAGGTCCTTATTACAATCTTTCGGTAATTCACTTCTATTCCATTTTCTATCAGTTCTTATTGCAGATGATGCCATGTGAGATCTTTTTCCTTCTTCAGGCTGTTACTTGCTAGCGTTAGGCAATTCATTTAATTGATTTCTTCCATTATTTTTGCCTCTCTGTTTTTTTCCCCCAAATTCCGTTGTTTTGGAGTTGTACATGAAAATTCTTC